AAACTGGGGAGGAAACTGGGGAGGAAACAGGAGCTCACCCTGTTAACGCGAAGGCTGGACTCGAACCGCTGAAGCGTCGACCATTTCTGGCCGGCAACTTTCAGCGTCAAAAGTCAAAGGTACATCATTGTTCAGTATTGGTATTGTCTGAAATAGAAACATCATTCTGGGTAATACATTCATTTTTATCACTGATATTCTACCAAACAATGATAATTTCAACTTTCCCCAGTTGCTAAATCTTGCACGCATTTTTCCAACAAATCCTGCAAAGTTTCTGTGCTTTCTATATCTGAAGGGAGATCCCTTATCTTTATGCTTCTGCAGGTCAGCTTTCCTTGCAGTTTAGTCAAAGCTTTATCACCCAGATCTAAATTCCTTACTTGCTCTTCAGTTATAGATTCTGCCGTTCAGCCTGGTTTGATAAGAACGATCGATTATTGTCTTCGCACTCTCCAGCTCTGTTCGGAATTCATTCATTTGAGCTTCCACTCTATTCATTTCATCTCATAACAAGATGATGCAATGTCATGTTGCGACCCCCGAGTGGCAGTATTTCTATCCAGTATGCCAATGTCTTTATGAACATTAAACATCTCAGAGAATAAATTACCATAAGGTTACACATTAGCTGCAATTTATCTATCATCTGGGCAGTGGATTCATCCTGAGGAGGATTCTCAGCCCCAGATGGAATTAAGCCTGAAGATACTGGACACTTTTTCTCAAAGAGTAACAAAGACATTAGCAAAGCAAAACCAAAACAGAACTATAAAAGAGGCTCACTCAAAGTTCACTTCAACTAAAGCACTTTAAAGGAGGGAGAGGAGAGGATGAAACAAGAAGCAGCTTAGATCTTCATGCCAGCAGAAGTCAACTTCGAACATTCATCCTGTTTAACTGTCTTCTCTGGTCCTTGGCATGAAAAATCTGGATACGGTGGTATGACCCTCTCTGTCCTTACCTATAAATAAGATGCTCCTTGCCCTTCCCATGGCCATAGGTAACTGAAGCCCATTGAGGATAAGATGAGATAGATTTCTCCTACTTGTTCTTGGCAAGGGCAGGTGGATGTGTTGATAAGATACTCTCTTTTCTCTCTGAGATCATGTTAGCATTACACTCTTTGTAAGTTGTATTTCATTGCTTGTTAAATTATTATTATATTATTACATTACATTACATTACATTCTTTGTAAGCTGTATTCTGTTGTTTTTCCTTATTTCTCATACCAGGTGTATCTCAATTTTTTTTGTGACGTTCCACACTTATTTTGCACAAGATTATGCCCGGACAGCTTGGTTCCATTCCATTGTAGACTGTGCTACTATGTTAAATAGTAATTATTTTCCTTCCTTCCTTCCTTCCTTCCTTCCTTCCTTCCTTCCTTCCTTCCTTCCTTCCTTCCTTCCTTCCTTCATTTTTCAAATTTAGATACCGCCCATCTCACAAAAAAGTGACTCACAATTTATATATTACTATGGTGAATGTTGAGCTACTTTTAAGGCTCTTGGAACCCTGGATTTGGATTTGGACTACTCGTCTGCACCTGACAAGGGCAGGTGGACATTTTGACAAGATCCCAAAGACCACTGAATCAGGAAAGTACGGAATGTGTTATTTTGGACACAGCAAAGAATTATTTTGTCCAGTCGGGTCTTTAATGGGTCATCTTCAACATTTGAAGTTTCTAATTGACAATTTCCTATTGGAAAGCATCAAGTTGTCACTTTCAGCCTGAAGAAAGGATGATTCCATAGCCCCTCTCTTGTCTGTTAAGACTTTTATCTAAACCTGTTATCTCTTCAGCCTTGGAGTAAAATTGGTAAGCTCCATAAGCAACTGTGTGTGAGTGTACATGGCTGAAACCTGAAGCAGGACATTTAGCAAAGTACTTTAAAGGAGGGAGAGGAGAGGAAGAATTTCGATCTTCATGCCACCAAAGTCAACTTTGAACATTTATCCTGTTAGTAAGAGTGGCCTGTCAAGGATGAGGTAAGATACATTTCTCCTCCTTGTTCTTGACAAGGGGAGGTGGACATGTTGATAAGATACCCGTATTCTCTCTGTCCTTGGAAGAGATGAGCAGACATTATCAGCCTTTCCAGGTAGACCAGACTAGGAAACCAAGGCTATGTAGATCAGTACTATTTTTACTGTAAGGTTATAGTAACAGAATCTTATGAAGTCTGAATAGGCTTCCTCCCTTTATCTTCGTATGAACTAGGGAGGGGCTTGTCTGAGACGTTTACTCACATTACTCTCTTGGCCTGGGCTCAGGCCCCTTGTATCTGAACACTGCCTTGGTAGCAGTTCTTCCTCCTGTTCTTATTCAATCTGGGTGAAAATAATTGCACTTAGGGAGAACTTTGTTGCTGCTCTTATCTTGGTAGGATGGTTGATATGCAGACTGGATGTTACAGACATTGTAAACTGCAACATTAACGTGTTGAAGAGAGCATCTCCACATCTTTGAACATGGACATCTTTTTAGAGATTTTGGCTTAGTCCTGGCATTAGTAGGTCTTCGGTCAACTTCCATTTAATCTTTCACTGTGGTGGTATTTATCTGAAAGGCTTGTGATCGCATCCAATGAGATTTTGTTGTTGTTGTTTTCTTTCCCAGATGTATTTCAATTTTTTTTGTGGAGTTCCAGACTTACTTTGCACAAGATTATGCCCGGACAGCTTGGA